AGATATAAACTTTTTAGATGAGGACAGTGAGAAAGACAATGATAAAGAAGAGGAAAAAGAGTATGAACTACCAAAGTTTAAAGTCAAAATTCAGATGGCAACAACTACATTCTGTCTTGGATTAACATTTGGTTGTAAGGAAGAATTTAAGGAGGCAATTTATAATTATGCAATGAGTAATGGAAAGGAAATTTTGTATGTGAAAAATGATAAGGTTAGGTGCATTGTTGAGTTTAATGAAACTGAATGTCCATGGAGGATTACACTTAGGAAACAAGCATCAGAAAAGGACTAGAGGATTACAACAATCAATGACAAGCATGATGGATGTTGTTGGAATAACACCAACTACATGGCTAACTCAACTACAATTGCTAAAAGGTGGAAGAATGAAGTTGCATCAAACTCCAACTGGACAGCCACTGAATTTCTTTAAAAGGTGTCAACTACTGATGGAATCTCAATATCAAGAAGGCAAGCATGGAGGGCAATGAGGAAAGCAAGGGCTGCCATTTATGGTGAAGAAGAAAAATGCTTTAATAAACTCTGGAGTTACTGCTTGGAGATTGACAAGACTAATCCAGGTTGCACATACCATGTGAAGTTGGGTGATAAACTAGATGATGGCAATAAAAGGTTCAAAAGATTTTACATGTGCTAGGAAGCATGTAAACTAGGTTATAAGTACTGTATGCCTATTATTGGAGTGGATGGGTGTCATTTGAAGGGATTGCATGGGGGTCAGTTGTTGTTAGCTATTGGAGTTGATGGAAATGATAGTGTGTTTCCTCTTGCGTATGCAATTATTGAAGGAGAGACTAAGGAAAGTTGGATTTGGTTTTTAGAACACCTTAAGACAGATCTTGCAATAACTCCTGCTGATGAACTGGAATTAACATTTATTTCAGGTATGTGAACTGGAATTAACATTCATTTCTTACAGGTTTAAAAGCTTGAGCTGCCTTCATTTATTTCTAAGTGTTAACCATTTGTTTTGCAGATAAGCAAAAGGGTTTACTCCCTGCATTTGAGTTTGTTCTTCCAGCTATGACTCACAGATTCTGTGTGAGACATTTACATGGGAACATGAAACTAGCTGGCTTCACTGGAAAGGCAATTAAAGATGGTTTATGGGATGCTGCTACGGTCACAACAGTAAACACTTTCACAGCTGCAATGAAGAAGATGAAGATTATTGAGTCCATGGCATATGAATGGCTAGTTGACAAACACCCTTCAGAGTTGTCTAGGTCACATTTTAGTACAACTGCACATTGTGATATCTTAGTTAATAACATTTGTGAGTGTTATAATTCTATTATTTTAGATGCTAGAGAGCAGCCTCTAATTAGTTGCCTTGAAACTTTGAGGAAGATAATTATGCATAGGCTGTATCAGTGTAGGAAAGATGCATGGAAATGGACTGGCCCTATATGCCCTATGATTATTAAGAAAATAGCTCAGTATGAAAAATTGGCTAGTGCGTATACAGTCATACAGAGTGATGGCAACTTGTTTGACACACGTGGGGTGAACTATAGTGAATTTGAGCAGTATGAAGTAGACTTGGGTAGAATGACATGCACTTGTAGAAGTTGGGACTTGACTGGTATTCCTTGTAGACATGTTATAAGTGCCATTTGGATGAAGCATAGTAAGGGTCAAGTCCATGACTATGTACACCAATTTTATTTCACACAAACATACTTGAAGTCTTATGGAGGTAGCATCAAGCCTATGGCAAGTCCTAGTGAGTGGCCTGAAACTGATAGACAGCCACCTCTCCCACCTCTATACACTGCCAAGCCAGGAAGACCCAAAAAAGCAAGAAACAAGGGAATTGACGAGGTATCCAAATCTGGGAAAAAGAATTGAAGGGGGTTGCTGAGGTATCCAAATCTGGGAAAAAGAAGCGAGTTGATGAGGTCTCCAATGATGGTATCCATTTGAAAAGGAGCCGTGTGAAGATGCATTGTACTAAATGCAAGAAGGAAGGCCACAACACAAGAAAATGCTCTGATGATCGTGCTGTTAGGGAGAGATTGGTAAGTGTTATGGTTTTAAATTTTCTTATAGCTTATAATCTGTGTGAAGTTTCTATCATAGGCCAATCCAAAGAAAAGAGTGAGGGTAAAGGCTAAGAAACCTACACATACTGAAGTTACACACAATAAAGCTACACACTCTGAATCTACACTGCAAGATGCTACACAAATGGAACCTACACTGCCTGATGCAACACTGGAAGAAGAAGATGATAGTTGGTTGGCAAACATTGATATTGATGCAGTGGTCTCTCAAGTGCTTCAAAACCCAACATTGCAACCACAAGTGAATGCTGAGGAAATACCATTTACAAGTCAGCCACCAATTCTTGGAGAAGAAGAAGATAGTCAACAAGTGAGTCAACCAACAAAGAAAAAGATGTTTGGCAAGGCAAGTCAAGGAAGAAAATATATGACCCGTAGCTCTCAGAAATCAAAATTCAAAAACACAAGTGATGATCCTATAAACATTGAATAACACTAGTGTTAAAGTTATAGTCTTTTTTTGTAGTCAATACTGCTGAAATTCTCCTTTTTTTTTTTTTTTTTTTTTTTTTTTTTTTTTTGTAGAGAACTAAACTCTTATTTTGGCACAATTGGTAGACAGTTGTATGTTAGTTACACTGCTGAAATTCTGTAAGACAGTAGTATGTTATTTTGGCACAATCAGTTAATCAGTTTGGTGAAATGGAATGATTGCTCAATTGGCTTTTATTGTCTTATTGTGCTTAACTTATTTGAATGGTTGATATCACACTGCAAGTCAAGCTTACTTTGAGTTCAAACACACTTCAATACCATGGTGCTTAAATTACATTGCTGAAATTTACACTGCTGAAATTCTGTTACATTGCTGAAATTAGTTAAGTTACACTGCTGAAATTATGTTAGACAATAGTATGTTTATGTTTGCTTAACTAAACACACTGCAAACACACTTCAATACCATTGTGCTTAACTAAACAGACTTCAAACACACTTCAATACTATGGTGCTTAACTAAACAGACTTCAAACACATTTCATTAAATGGTCCAAATCAGGTTACAACATTAATTGCTTGGAAGCATTTTGACAATTGCTATTGATTGAGTACTACATTTGCTAAACACATAAACTACGAATCCAGTTGCAAAGATGATTACAATTGCGAATTTGCAACATTTATTTTTCTTAGACATCACTACATTTTTCTTAGTAGCAACTTCTAACATAACCGTTAACTTCTCGATCTCTTCTTTGTCTCTATTTATCCTCTTCAATAGTCCGGGTATTATACTGATTGCCCGTGAACACATTGGAGGATCTGCCCAGTCATAGAAACCACAACCGTTGCCTCCCTAAAACCCAAAAAAAAAAAAAAAAAAAAAAAAACAAAATTCAATTCTGGAAAAATTAAACTGATTTAAAAAATTTATAAATTCAATATTATAAATTGTAAGATTACCTGTCCGGATTCAGAGCATTGCTAAAACCTCCTACCCGGATTGCGATCTGTCCAAGAAGTTTGAATCACCAGTTGATTCCCGCACTGACACTCATGACTGTGTATGGAGTAGTCTCCAAAATTATATCTCCTCCTTGAAGTACTTGAAGAAGATGACATTGTTGCTCATGAAATCACTTGAAAAAGATGAGAGCTTTGATGAAGAAGATGAAGATTAGGGTTTGGAGCGTGAAGAAGATGAAAGCATTCGGATGCTTGGAAACGACATTATAAAGGCATTAAAACGACCTATAAAGGCCAAATGACAATATTACCCTCCATTTTGACGTCTCAGACGGGAGCAAGTAACGGAAGGACGCTAGAAGGCCACTTTTCGCAACTCAGAGGATGACGGAAGGTAATTACGGAAGTTAGAGACCATTGATGGCGATGCCACCAAACTCGAGGGACCATAGGTGGTATTTACTCGTATAAAAAATGTACTTTTATGTCTTTTTACAATTATTCTCTTATTCAGCAGCTAATTTTACCAAACACCTTAATTTCAATCATTTAGCTTATTAGCTACTAGCTTTTTAGTTTCAATTACTAACTTTTCCGCTAGGAGTGCCAAACAAAGCCATCCATGAGTGTTTGACATGTAATCATGATTGTGGTACACTTTTAAGAGATGTTTGGTTGAAAATTAACAAGTTTTTATTATGGACTTAAGCTATTAATTTTATAAATATGTAGTTAACAGATTATGTACATGTAGTACCAACCTTGTTTCTGATTATGCGAAGAAAAAAAGTTGACACAAGACACCCTAAAAAAGCACCGTTTATGTACATTACAAAACGAAGTCGTTTTGAATCAAAGTCCACATTATAATGTTGACCCTGATTCACGATATCATTAACAAGTCTTGAGTTTCATTATTTGCTTTTAATAGTGAACCTTTAAATGAATGATACAATTAATTCAAATCCAATAAGGCTACAAGAATAAGAATAGAACATTTAAATTGACCCATCAAACGAAAGAAAAATTACTTTTACTTAATCTTTTAGGAATAATTGTAATTGATAAATTTTGATGATGTTATTGGATCAATGTATTTAGGAAATTTTGAGAACTTTTGAATCGAAGACTTCATGGGGCAATCCAAGATAGCTTTGGCGGCGTTTTTTACACTGCTGGAAATTTCGCTATTTCCGTCCAACATTTCCGTCCAACAATAATGTTGGTCGGTAATTTGCAAAAAATCACAACTTTCCATCACAAATAGGAATGGACGGAAAATTGGATGGAATTTTCGTATAACACTCACGCGTTGGACGGAAGTTCCGACCGACAATAAATGTTGGACAGAAATTTTGACCCACGATTGCACGTTTCGACAGAAAACTAAATTGATTAGTAGGTAAGTATTACTAAATACCGTAAATGTTGGACGGAAATTGAAATATTTAAGTTTCCACCCAACTCATGCTTACAAAATTTTAGAAGTCTTTTCGCGATCAAAAATTGAAATTTCACAAATTTTCGCTCGAACACTAAAGTATTTGGGCGGCGACATTCAGCTAAGTTCCCTCTCAAACAAAAAGCTAAATACAAGCGTCTCTCAAACAAAAAGTTTCCCTCTCCGTCTCTCAGCTTCGTCCCTGCCGTCATCGTCGTCTTCCCGTCGCTGTCGCCGTCGTCCCTCGGTCATCATCTTCCCGTCTCTGCTGCCGTCGCATTCCTTCCGTCGTCTTCCCTCTAAAGCAGCGCCTATGCACGCCTCTGCCGGCCAGCCTTCTCGTCGCCTTTGCTCCGTCGCCTAAGCAGTGTTCTATTGCTCTTCTCGTCGCCTCTTCCAGCCTCTACCTCCATCGCTAGTGTCCATCACCATTCTACAGGTTAGTTCTCAAAGCTTAAACCCTAATTCCTAATTTCCTAATTCTATTTATCCCTAACTCATAATTTCATTATGCCCTAATTTTACTGTAATGTTGAAATGGCACGTACTGAAATATTGCTTGATGCCTGCCTGCCTCATAATTTCATGAAGGCCTAATTTTACTGTAGTTTTGAAATGGTGGTCTGCATTATTATGTGTGCAATATCTTTGCTAGCTGGTTCAATCTAACGCTAATGCTTTGTTATGGATAAATTTTTCTGAATTATTGTTTCATTTTCGTCACATTTATAATTGAAGTTGTAAAGTTGTATTTAGTTTTGGGGACTGAAAAAGATGAAGTGTTTTGAGTTTTTAATGTAAACTATATGGTTCAGTAAAAATGATAGCTTTAATTCAAGTGCAGCTATCAATACAATTGATTTTTAGCAGCTCTTGTTTCGACTTATTATCTTAGTCCATATCCTATAATGCTCTTACGCATATGGATATTTAGCAGCTCTTGATTTCAGATGGCTCAAAACAACCAAGGTGAGATCATTTCTTATAGCACTGTTTTACTGGTCTTTTATACTTGATTGGCTTTGCTTTATTATTATTGTTATTATTTAATTAGGGTTAAGTATTGATTAGTGATGATAATCATTGTTGGACAACATATATATTTGTACAGCCGAAAGAAAAAGAAATTGATTTTCGAATTGTGTTTATACTGAGGCTATATGATTTCAATAGCCCATTCTCTGTTATGCTGTTTATATAGTTTGTTGACACTTGATGTGGAGTTCAATGAGAGCAGCAAATTTCTTTTCCACAAACGCATTATTTTAGTCCAAATCGCTTCAGTAAGCTGAATCATATATAGAGTAGAAGTTCTCATCTCTATAAACATTCAAGTCATTTAGTTTCTAAAATTTTTATAATATAAGTCAGCAGTTAACTGCAGTTACAACTCTTTGCTTTCTTTAATGTTAAACCCAATGAGAATCATGTTGAGTTAGACTTGGCTCACTTTTTAGGTAAACAATTGATTGTCAAAGTGCTTAGGAAATAAGTGATCACTAATAGAATTTGCGGACAGCATGACAAAGATCATGGAGTTGGAGGTCTGGAATGTTTATAAGTTATAACTAAATGCATCCAAGGGAGTGTTGCTTTCAACTTCCACTGTCAAATTTATTTCTACATGTTTCATTTAAGTATGTTTAGCTAGTATATAATGCTCTGCTACTTTCCAGTTGCTTTTGAATAGTGTATTTATGTTGAAGCACATGGATTTTTAGTAATTGGCAAGTCTCCATCATAAGTACACTGTGGCAGTCCTGGATTCCTCACTAGCCGGGGTCCTACAGGAACTTTGTTATTTTTTGGACGAATGTCCTGCATAAAAGAATTGAATACATTTTGTTAAAAGATGACCCAAGAATAGGATTGTGATGACAACTTTTTGGATTTGCATTTATCATTTTCATATCTGTGGATAAGGTTGGTTGTTAATGTTATTCAACATTGTATTTTATCACTTTTTATATTGCTTTTAATTAATTTATATCCTGTGCTGAGTGGGCATATATTTGACTGTATTGAGATGCTTCCCTTTAATTTCTTAAAAGATATGAGCCCCTCAGATAGATCTTACATGGTATTTTCCAGTAAGGAGGAATAGGAGATAGTGAAGGAAGATGTCACATTGGCCTCATATCTCTTCTAAGCTTATCTTCCGCATGAATAATTACCACTGGAATCCCATCCTACCTTTCTATTTTGGACATGTAATGTTCATTGCTGGCTTGAAGATGCTCAACAATTAGGAGCAATTAAGGGAGATAGTATTGTTACTCAGTATCTACAAGAACAATCATTGAATTCATATGTGTGTATGTTAAGGTGATAAGGTGAAATTCATGTGCATTCATATCTACATTGGTACATTGAAGCTGCAATTAAATGCATATTTGTTAAGGTGATAGGGTGAAATTCAGGAGGATGATAGTCTTGGGAGGAAAGATGTTTTCCAAGTAAAAGTAGACTGAGCTTTTATGCTTTGCTTTTATTGTGAATAGGAGTATTTTCTAATGTTGCCTCGATTTCTTACTTGAGCTCAATCTTCAGTTTATCTTATAATTCTGAATATGCATACAGTTTCCAGATGTTAGTTCAGAGGCTTTACTTAAGTTGGTGTTTTGCATATGCACTTTTGCAAGTCCATTATAATGTCAGTCTGATGAGTTATTTATTTATTTTCACCTTTTTTTATGTTCCAGGATACCATGGTAGTTTGCCACTTTCCTGTTTAACAAAGGTTGAAGAATATCATGATAGTTTGCCACTTTCTTGTTTTCTTAAATCATGGAGCATGATCTTCAAATGCAACTTCAAATGCAGCATTGGTGGTAGAAATTCAACAAATGTGGGAAGAAAACAAAATGATGAAACACAAGTCCTTCCTGATGATTAAGTATTTTATGTTTTTATGACTTCTTGTGTATATGGCAATAGTGCATTGCTTAAATGTTTATGAACACAATACTATCTTTTTGTTGTAAATAATTTTGATATTTAAATATATTTTCATTTTGAATTTAGATTGTGTACATTACTTTGTTGATGATGTAGAATTTACTGACAACAAGTAAAACAAAATTATAGCAATATCGAAATAATAAAAATAATTTATATAAATATAGATTTTCCTATCAACCATTGGTCACAATTTCCGACCAACCGTTGGAAGGAATTTTGGATATTAAAGCGTATGAGTTTTCCGACCAACGGTTAGTCGGCATTTCCGTCCAACGAGTAAAAGTTGGACGGAAATTTCCATCTTAAAAATGGTGGGTTAACATCCGAAATTTTCGTCCAACTTTGACCTGTTGGACGGAATTTCTGTCCAACATTTGATGTTGGACGGTATTACCGGTGTTCATTTTTCCGGGGTCACGTTTTGGTCGGAATGTTGGACGGAAACCCGTTTTTCGACCAATAACTCCCGTTTTCCGTCCAACGGAAAGTTGGACGGAAATAGCGAAATTTCCAGCAGTGTTAATAGTTGCTTCCTTATTATTTCTTTTTAACATACCTAGGTAGTCTCAATCCTCTACACTTGAGCTAAATAGTTTAATGGAATTCATAAATCATTAATATAATCTTTGAGAGTTTTAGTAATTAAGAAGTGATTCTAATCAATCAGCAACTATGACAGAATGTAATTAAGAATATGTTATTAAGTAGAATAAAATGCTCATTTGTCTATTTAGATTATACAGTAAATAAATTTAAGTTATGTGTTACAAAATGTATGTGTTTATCAAGCCTAAAGGGCAAATTATGTTGTGAAACTGTGTCCACCTTGCAAGTTAAACACGGTTTCAAAATTGTTCATAATTATGAATATATAGTTCAAAAATTAGGAACATATAATTTTATAATTATGAATATAGAGTTCTGAACATAATTATGAACATATATTTCTGTAATTATAAATATAAAGATTCAATAATTGTGAATATTAAGTTCAAAAATTATGAATATATAGCTTTATAATTATGAACATAGAATTCTGTAATTGTCAATATAGAGTTCAATAATTATGAATATGAAGTTCAAAAATTATGAATATATAACTTTTAAATTATGAACATATAATTCAGTAATTATAAATATAGAACCGTGTAACGATTGAGCCTGAAGCCTTACAATGGCTATTTTTATTATACTCATTTAAGCCTTACAGAATGTAAGTGTATTTTTTTGAGTTATATACTCCATTGTTAAGTAATTATATGCTTGTGTATGTCATCTTATAGGTTCATTGTAACAGGATGTTATAATGGTGTAGGAAGGTAATCTGTAAGAATTAGCTGTATTATAATGTTTTTGCTATTTTTATTATTCCCATAGCACTTTAGGCCATTGGAATAAGATAGGTATGATTGATATTAACTATTTCGAGATAATTTGGGATCTTTATTATGCTTTTGTCCATCTATGACATCAACGGGACTGGTTAATTAAGTGATTTGTTTCGTGTGTTTTTAGAGTGAAGATGAAAGAATAAAGGAAGACAGCAAGACAAAGGTGAATATGATTATAATTAACTTTTGACTTATATGACCTGCAGAGTTTACATTTTATCCTTCATATTAGTACATCCTTTACTTCATGGTATCAGTACATATTAATTGATCTTTGTGGTTGCTTAGTTAGATTTGCTTTGTCATTACTCTTTGTATAATTTCTTATTTATGTGGTATTGCAGGTTGCTCAGGAGATTAAATCAGAAATTAAATTTCAGAATTCTAGATTTTAAGATGTTTTACATTTTCAATTGTATATTCATGAAAGAATTATCTTCAAGCATTTGAACACATTTAATTCGCGTTCGCACACACTTAATCTAATTTGGACCATTAAAAAATATTAAATGGATGAATACGATTTGTTCTCACATTCTCACCTAAGCACGTGTTCTCGTATGATCCTAAATATATGTATATGTATGTATATATATATATATATATATATATATATATATATATATATATATATATATATATATATATTCATTTCACTACAGGAATTCTCTCTATAGTGAAATAAATTTTGTTAAGAGTTAATACCCAAAATAGACCCTCGACTATGTCGTAATTACCAATTTGGTCCTCGACTATCATTTTTACCCAATTAAGTCTTCAACTATACAATTTTTACCCAATTTAGTCCTTTGTCAATTTGACTGTTTGTTGACTGTCGAAAGTGGAAATAAAGTTGTAATTTTACAAGTTTTCTCCTTCCTCCTCATTTAGCAGCGCCAAACCATGTAGCAATAAGCTCTGGTTGGGTTCTAAACCTGTCAGTATCGAAGTAGTGGTTATGCATCGGATAGCCCATGAATTTGATTTCCAACGATTTTTGAACGATTGAAATCTGATCGGAGTGTATTGCTGCATGGTTTGGCGCTGCTAAATGGAGAGGAAGGAGAAATCTTGTAAAATTATAATTTTATCCTGACTTTTGACAGTCAACAAACAGTCAAATTAATACAGAGGACTAAATTGGGTAAGAATCGTATAGTTGAGAACTAAATTGGGTAAGAATTGTATAGTTGAGGACTTAATTGAGTAAAAGTTACATAGTTAAGGACTTAATTGGGTAAGAATGGTAGTTGAGGACCAAATTGGTAATTATGGCATAGTCGAGGGACCATTTTGGGTATTAACTCTTTTTTTAATGGCTACCTCCAGTTTTCAGATCACCCAAGTAGTCTCTATTTCCGGTGGTCGGAAATAGCGAAGATGATTTTTCCGATTAGTCAAATTGCTTGGAAACGTGATCGGAATAGGTGTTTTCAACCTAATTAAGGTCACATATATCCGACCACTTGAAAGTGGTCGGAAATCTGTTGATTTTCAACAGTGAAATAATTACTTGAAATGTTATTTTTAGCTAATTTTATAATACCCAATTAAATCAATTTGTGACCCTTTCCCAAGTTCTTTTAATAAGATTTAAATCCCTAATAATTTGTTCTAGAACCTTTGAATTTATAACAGTTGTTCACTTATCTTAGCTTGAGTTTTAATTAACACAATGGAATAAACGTGATTATATATATATATATATATATATATATATATATATATATATATATATATATATATATATATATATATATAACAATTGACTAACTAGGCCTCGAAGTTTATTTAATGTATATAATAAGACAAACAAGCTAACACGTTTTATTTTTTGCAATCTAACCCCCGACAAGTGGGTGGAAAACTGGAAATACATCCCCTCTTGCTTCCATATGAAGTCACTATTAACATCTAGTCAATGTAGAATGATGTCAGGATGAATTGATGTTTAATCAGTGACATTTAGATAGGTTTCTGTACTTTTGTTTTCTTGAATATTCAACTCAAAAATAAATGTACTATGTGTCATGATTAGACTAACTTTCGTTTGTTGAGGTTTTTGTTAGTTAAGTAGGAGAGAGGAATTGAAAGAAGAAAAAGTGAGCAAAAGAAAAGGAAAAAAAAAAAAAAGTAAAACAAGGCTGACAAATAAAAAATTAAAAATTAAAAATTAAAAAATTGCATTTTACGAGCTTAGTCTGGCGCGTGCACATGGGTGCGCGGAACGCATAAAAGGTAGGGATGACAATATGTCCCGTTCCCGTCGGGGATCCCTGGCCCCGTAGGGAATGGGGACGGAGACGAGAGAAAATTTCGAGGATCGGGGACGGGGATGGAGAATTTTAAGACGGGTCGGAGATGGGGATACCCCTCCCGGTCCCGCCCCGTCCCCGAATAATTATTCTAACTAAAATAAATAAATAAATAAATAAATAAATAAATAAATAAATAAATAAATAAATATATATATATATATATATATATATTATATATATATATATATATATATATATATATATATATATATATATATATATATATATAGGCTTCGAATCCGGTGCACCCCCCTAATTATATGATCCTGTGAGATTTCTTGATATCCATAGATTGATTCCCAATCAATGGTTGAGATCATGAGATCCCCTAGAATAAAATAAAGATTTATCATTAACTAAGGGTGTTAACAGTAATTGTACCTAGTGGCCTAATTATGGTTAAAATTATTATCGGAAATTATGCATGAATTAAGGGATATTAATACAGTAAATATATATGGGGTGATACATCACATGGGAAGGGTAAAAAAAACGTGCGAGACATTTCATGTTGGAAGCCGGACCGGTGAGGTTGCAAGAACAAACATCTACCATCACAGGTGTGTTCATAACAGGTACACAGTTTGTGCGTGTTTAGTTTCTGTAATTGTTTTTTAATTGGTTTGCGAGTTTAGAAGTTTTAGCACTAAAAACCCAACAAACTGTATGTGTGTTTGTGCGTATATATGAGATTGCGACGAGTATGGAAACCAACATATACACCAACCACTTTCATTTTGGGAGGCCGTTTGGGGATAATTTGGTATGTACCGGTGAGTGCGTGGAAGTATGATATGTTGACAAAAATGATGGGTATAATGTGACAAATGTGAATGTGAGCTGCTGTGTATGAATATTAGAAACCGCAGTACAGATGCGTATGAATGGGAAGAGTTTTTTTTTTTTTTTTTTTTCCAATTTGTGTATTCGATTTTTGGTTGTTGACGTTTTTGATTTTGGCTATCTGTTAACGGGAAGTTGTTGGTTAAACTTGACATTTAATTTGCAAAGCACAAACGCCCAGTAGTAAAAAAATGTGGCCGTTTAGCACCTATTGAACTAAATGTGGCAGATGCGTGTGCCTATGTATGTTTGTGCACGTGAGTATAACTTAAGGGCCGGTATGTAGTTTCATGGTTTAACGAGGGTATGTATACTTGTGCGTATTGCCTCAATTGCGTTGGAATTGGTTGATGCATGATAGTGTAACCGGAAAGGCCGAGTTCGGATGTGGTAGCTGGTGCACGGAAGTATGAAGCCTTGTGCACCACGCGTGTAATGACTCGTCCACAATTTGGTCTTTCTATATACTGAACTGTGTGTTATATTGGTGAGTGCGTGATAGTATACAGCCTTGTGCACTATGCATATAATGAGTTGCCATAAATGCGATCATTGTGTATACTTAGATGTGTTTCAATGAGCGCAGGTACACGGCAGTATGAAGCCTTGTGCACCACGCCTATCATGAGTCGTCCACAATTTGGTCTTTGTATATACTGAACTGTGTGTTATATGGGTGAGTGCGTGATAGACTATAGCCTTCTGCACTATGCCTATAATGAGTTGCCATAAATGCGATCATTGTGTATACTTAGCTGTGTTTCAGTGAGCGCAGGTGCACGGCAGTACGAAGCCTTGTGCACCACGCCTATCATGAGTCGTCCACAATCTGGTCTTTGTATATACTGAACTGTAATTTATATGGGTGAGTGCGTGGTAGACTATAGCCTTGTGCACTACGCATATAATGAATTGCCATGCATGCGATCATTGTGTATACTTATCTGTGTTTCAGTGGGTGCATCGTGTGCTGTAAATCCGTGCATGGCGCCTTAATTCCATGCGAATGTGACAACTATGTTTTTTAAACTCCAGTACGAATAATACGAATCGTTACGTAGGTGACATAAGCATGGAAGAAGGAGGGAAAATCCAACACTGTGTGATGGATGAATCCCAAAACGGTACGAGCATTTGGTTTACGGAATGTGACCCATCGATAAAACCAGCTGTCGATCAGGTGTTTGATACGTTGGAAGATGGCATCGCGTACTACAAGACATATGCATCCATAATTGGGTTTGATGTGCGCAAGAGTTCCGACATTAAGAATAGGTATGGGATCATCCTGAAGAAGAAACTAGTGTGCAATCGTGAAGGGTATAAGGATGCAAAACCAGACACCACAGCAGGTCAAAATACCACCACACAAACAAAACGACGACGGCCGTCTAACAGGGTTGGGTGCATGGCTAGAATAGTTTTCAGAAGAAACAGTAAAGGAAGGTACGTGGTCAAGAAGTTTGAAGAGGGGCACACCCACTGTTTGTGCGAGGAGAGTTACAAACCTTTCCTGAAAGGGAATAGAAAACTAGATATTGGCCACCAACAATTCATCGCGAACTGCTCAAAAGTCAATATTGGGGCTAGTAAAAGTCATGACCTGTACGCCGAGATGGTGGGAGGAGTTGAAAACGTGGGAGCGACACAACAAGACTGCAAGAACTATAGAAGGGAGCTTTTGGCGTACATGCAAGGAGCAGATGCGCAAATGCTAATATCCAAATACCTCGATCTCAAATCGGACTATGACGATATGTATTTCGAATACGAGGCAAACGAGAATGACCAGTTGGCACGTGTTTTCTGGGCAGATGGTATGGCAAGAAAGCAGTATAGTGTTTTCGGAGATGTTGTGTCATTTGATGCTACGTACAAAACTAACAGGTACGCACCTCATTTACGGGCTGCAATAACGTTGGTGCGCATACATGTTTGAACCCGTACTGGAGTGCGTGTACGGTCCACGGTATGTGCGTTGCACTGCTACGGATATGAATGGTTCAGACGATTTGTTACATTAAAATGCTAATAAATTTATGGATTTGTTATTTCACAGTACGCAACCCTGGCTTTTATATTTTCCATAGGCTATATTTCTATATTTATATTTATTTCACAGTATGTAACCCTGTGCGCTACATGCGTATTAGTTAACACATTTCCTCATGAAACAGGTACAGTCTCGTGTTCGTCCCATTCACCGGTATAGACCACCATAAAAAATGCGTAACATTCGCAGCAGCACTGATTGCGCGTGAGGATGTCGACTCGTACTGTTGGATACTAAAGAACTTTAGAAACGCAATGGGAAGCACACCACCATTCACAATAACCGACCAAGACCCGGCGATGAAGGTTGCAATTGCACAAGAATTCCCAGAAACTCGCCATCGTTACTGTATGTGGCACATAATGGCGAAGGTCAACGATAAAGTGAGTCCTGAATTAGCAAAAAATGAAGTCTTCCGAAGAGAGCTGAATGATGTTGTTTGGAATGAAAGCTTGACTACCGCCAAATTTGAGGTTGAATGGAAAGCGATTATAGAAAAGTTTGGCTTAATTGAAAATCCATGGCTAAACCGCATGTACGACGAGCGCGCATCGTGGATCCCTGCATGTTTTGAAGGTGTTTTTATGGGAGGGCTATTGCGTACAACATCACGCTCTGAAGCAGAGAACCGGATTTTCAGAAGCAACACTAGCAAACATATTTGTGTTTCGGAATTTTTTAACAGGATAGAGAGTACAATCAGAAAGCAACGCCTAACACAAACCGAGCTAAACGGTGCCAGCCTTGCACAGACACCCCCCCTACAAAACCCAATTGCGCATCGAGCGAGCGGCAGCGTCAATATATACATTAACTTTGTTTTATGATGTGCAGAAGGAGATATGTGCCGGATGTTTTGATTGCCGGGTCCGTGGTGTCACCCCTGGTGAGGCCGGGAACACGTATGAGGTCGAGGATGAGCACTATGTACGATACACGGTGTTCGTTGAACACGGGACAAGGACGACAACCTGCGAGTGCCGAATGTACATCCGGATTGGACTGTTGTGCAGCCATGCATTTGCAGTGTTAATATATGACAGGAACGAGGACATACCCCCCAACATATCACACCCCGTTGGACACGAACCGCATTAACCACTTCACCAATCAAAACATGCAATGATACGCTCCAGCGTGGCAACCCCAAAGCACGAGGCACCAAAGAAGAAAGTGAAGTGCTGAACACAGTGTACAGGTGCATAGCCATGGCGCAAGGAGATTCCACGAAGCTAAAACAAATACGCAATGCGCTAACGGAAATTGAGACCACATGGTGCATCGACGGTGAAGACGACGTGGCCGTAGAGAAAGGGAAACGATCGATCAAAGAGACATTTTGTGGTACCCCCACACCTGACACAATCACCGTGCATCCGCCAGCAGTATCAAGTACCAAAGGGTCAGGAAAACGAATGAGGACAGCCAAAGAAATCGCAATGAAGGAACAAAATAAGAAGAAGCGAACATGCAAAACATGTTGACTCGCAACTGGACACAACAGTCGAAGCTGCCCAAAAAAATAGAAATAATTTTATATCCGTAAATGCTAGTTTGTGCACAACTGTTCTGACCCATTATTATTAAATTATGAGTTAATAAACATTTTCATTGAATAAACCTACCATCCCTGGACCCCGAATTTCCAACAAACATAGTCACATAACAATACAAAGGCAATGCAATCCCAGATCCCGTAAAATGAAAATGTTTAAAAAAAAAAAAAAAAAAAAAAAAACCCGGTGCGTGACAGCAAACAATGCATGTGCGTAGAGAATGAGTCAATACTATATTGAGAAATTGAGATTAGCACCACATTGGTTGGATGATGCAACATGGATGTCGGGCAACTCCTTGCGAAAATACCCCACGTGGATTTTGGAAATATAATTGAAAAAAAAAGGTGCGTGAATGTAAATTACGGATGTGCGTAGACAATGAGTGACCGAAAGTAGTAATAGACTGATATGGTCATCATCTGAAAGCGTCTGGTCCCATCGGTTTACTAATCAAACTAATACATGGCAAATTCCATAACTATAAATGTTTTTATAAAAAAAAAAAAAAAAAAAAAAAAAAAAAAAAAAAAAAAAAAACAAAAAAACAAAAAAACTGGTGCGTGACTGCAAACTATGCATGTGCGTACAGAGTGAATCAAGACTTTATCGAGACAGTGAGATTAGCACCATATTGGTTCGATGATGGACCATGGATGTCGGACAACTTCTTGCGAAATACCCCACGTGGATTCCCGAAATATTAATGAAAAAAAAAATTGCGTGACTGTAACAACGAGTGTCCGAAAGTATTAATAGAGTGATACGGTCATCATCTAAAAGCGTCAGGTCTCATTGGTTACCTAATCAAACAAATGCATGCCAGACTAGTATTTTGCGTAGGGCCGCAAATTTTGGAGATTCAAAAAAAAAAAAAAAAACATCAACGTGAGTGCGTATTCTTTTTGTACGCATGTGCATGTAGACTGACATTGATGCATCCGCTAGAAAAATAAATGCAACATGAACGAACATCATTAATACGGAAAAGTTTACGTGGAAATCCAAGATAAAAACACCACACAACAGTGCAATGATGACAGGCGTCTAACCCCGCATTATTAGGAAAAGCCGAACAAATGGCAAACAAAAAACGAAAAAAAAAATGATATAACCGAACGCCCCTTCAACGGACCGCAGCAATCGAGCTCTTAACACGGTCGACATTTGCGGCTCTATGTGTGTTGCGTTGGAACAACAAAATATCGAACATGAACCTGACATGTAATTCTAATAAGGCACGCGCATCATCCCTACGTAGCCCGCAATCCCATGTAGAATACGGTTGCCCAACATAAGACTCCATGTGAGGCATGGCAAACACACCGCAATCGACTTTGTTCTTTGCGTCTCGCCACGATAAACGAACCCTACGAGGCACCAATTTTGAAGCCTTCATATATAATGCGATCACCCCCATATCCTCAAAGAAAACGGACAGCAAATCATGCTACAAAAAAAAAACCCCAAAAATTTAAAACGCAAACAACGGGAGCAAGTATAACCGCGGGGGCCCAAAAAAGAAAAAAAACTGAAGGTATACAACAAATAAAAGAACATGCACCGACTGCACCTACCAACACCGTTAGGGTGTGACCATATTTGTTGAGCGACGGATCCTCCGCGGAGGAATTATCAATGACGTCAAACCGCAGATGCCTGAAATCCACTAAAACGACATAGTAGTGGTGCGCTTGAAGTATGGGGAAAAAAAACTGCAGCACAAAGAAATGCAACAAAACCCATTTTAAAAAATGAATGATGGAAAATGCGCATTAACCAAATGGACACAAAAAGTTAACGAACCATGTCTATATCATCCCATGAATTATAAGGCGACAACTTCAACTCGTCCTGCATGCTATCTGTAAACAACTGTAAATGACTTCCACGAGGAGCCGAGACATCAACCACCGTGTATAGCTACAATGTTAAAAACCCAATCAAAAATCTAAACGACGGAACAGGAAAATGAATATATAAAAAAATGACAACAAGAGACAAACCGTAGTCATCGTGGAGACGAAAAGCCTAGACGGTTCTCCATCAACCTTTGACATTTCCCTAAAAGATAACACACAAGTCCACGCATTTAAAATGCCTACCAACACTTCATTACCTTCCACCAGGGAGACGAACTCGACCCGACGTGCTGACCGACCACGCCAAAGAAACAACTCATCTTCCCTGATTATAAAACACCGACAGAAAAAGGAAAATCAAATCACAAGTAAACTAGGAAATAAAAACTGAAGTTATCACAACTGAAATACATGTCAGCACGCCCCGATCTAGCAATCCAATTGTAAACATCTTGCGCACTAGGTCCCTGCACATTTTCCGCGTGTACAACACGTGAGCGTGTCCACCGTTCGTACGAATTCAAATCAAGAGTCCTCAACGCGCGAACATTATTTAAAGACTGGCGGGACTGCTTTGCTGGTGCACGGCACGGTTCAGAATCAGCAATGGAGCTACCAGGCCGCGTCCCTACCCGAATACGCTGCACAGCAAACCGATCCCCAAACACCGTAATGTGTAACAGAAAAATAATAGACCCACATAAAATAACATATATTGGATAAATGTACACGCCATTACACACCGTACCTCATTAGGGGTGAATGGGGTGCCGGCATCAACATTAACCCCCCCCCCCCCCCCCCCGACCAATACGTTTTGTAAAAGCTTGTCCACGAACATCATCGCACGAAGACCCGAAAACACGAGCACCAGGCGAAAGAGTGCTGGGAGCACCAACCTACCACCACAAAAATAAAAAAATAAAAATGATGCTGTGTAAACCCCACTGTTATACGCACAGACCACCTAGTAAATAAATTTGTAAAGCATCGAAACGTATCAAGGCACACTTACTGGATGACATGGGGCCGAAGAGCACCCCCGAGGCATTACATTCGTTGATTGTGCGTTATACTCACGAACAATCGCGTCCACCACATCCCAACATTGGGAAGGTAGATCCTGCGACAGACCATCACCCACACACGAAAATTGCTGAGACAACCCAAGACTGAACGATGGGCGGAATGCATCATCCTAATAAATGAGAAAACCAGTCATACAAGCTCCCCCATATATACAAAACACCATACCTAATTGCACACTGAATAAAGTAACGCAACAATAAAAATATGAAACTAGACAAAACATGTACACATAACACCAACCATTCACCACCCGCACACACACCGTGCAGTACCAAAAAATATACATAGTTACCCGCATGTCACAGATACAATCGCAAACCATCCATGTCATCAAAATACACATCAAACCACCAACCCCCTAACAGCAAAAAAAAAAGACCAACCCCAAAAACATACAATACCACCCACTCCAAACCTAATACCGCCTCCTTTTCCTACGACGGCGAACAACCTTACTTACAGCATCGGGCATACGACCTCCATCCCCCGCCACGGGCGGAGCATCACCGGCAGACTCAATGCACTGACCCGCATCTCCCGCAACATCTGCCTGCTGCCCGACGGGATCTTGCTGGTCTAACCCCGCATCAGCTTGTGAGACTTCAACGACAGTAGACTTCTGCTGAACGGCACTAACAACCGCATCGACCGTCTCAAAGTTCTCCGGGTTGTCCCAGATATCATCACCGTTCAGCGCAGTAGCCCCCCCCCCCCCCCCCCCCCCAGACCACCAGACGGTGCACCACTGTTGGACCCAAACTGATCAGCAAGCGAGATGATCCTCCGAGCACCTGCAACAACTCTAAGAAAGTCCTCCGTCGGTCCTATGTCATCACCATGGTGGTCCATAAAGAGCATCAAATCGTCCATAGCTGCAGCTACAGCATCGGCCTTTTCAGCATAAATCTCGGCCACAGTCTGCATCAATACACAAGATGGAGGTTATGCAACAATGCATCAACCACAGTACCCCCCCCCCCCCCCACACGCACATAGCATGCCAACATCCAATAATAAGAGAAGGCACACATGCTTAAACTATAACGCATCCACCCTACCACCTTGTACGCACCCACACACGCATCCAAATTATAAATCAAAAACAAACCACATTACCTGCACCGAACCAACATCATTACAACAACACAAAAAAAAAAATACGGAACAATTTCACACCCCCCCCACAACCCCCCCCCCCCCCCCCCCCTCAAAGATAGCACGTTTATAACATGACAGTGCATGTCTAACAGAATATCAAATACACAAAATTTAAATTATTTCTAACCATCAACAATATCCAATATACTATAACAATAGAATAACATGCTTATACTATACCGCATTAACCCCGCCACCCCGGTACGCACAAACAGCTCCCCCCCCCCCCCACTAATAAAACAAAAACAAGCAACATAACCTGCACCGAACCAACATCATTAAAACTAAAAAAAAAAAAAAACAAAACTAAAAAAAAAAAACAACACGGGAAAATGACCCCCTCCCCCCAACAAGGACAGCATATTTATATCATGACAGTGCATGTCTACCAGAATATCCAAAAACCAAAATTAAAATTACTTTTTAAACATCA